CCCCCCCCCCCGTACCCATTCACGAAATCTGCTAAACTGTCGTGTTCCCCGAGGCATGTGCACATTGTTTTTCTTTCCCAAGGGAAGAAAAACCCCTCCTCCCCCGTTCATTCCGGGCGTTATCGATCCAGACCCAGACAGACGGCTGCTGGTGTGTGTACGACAAGGCGTGCGTCCAGTCGGATGGTATGAGTGCAAACAATGCACACGGGGACCCCCTCAACAAACCAAAACCAACCTAGACGAGCTCTCCCGCGCGCCCCCTGTCTGGGCCGGCCACCCACAGAGACGGGCACCAGCAGAAACACCAGGCGAAGGAGCAAAAATGAACAATAAGCAAGATGTCATTATCTCGTCTCTACTGCTATCGATGTACGCCGTCTAAACAAGTCGGATACAACACCACCGGCCACACCACAAATATCCATTGGCCGAATCACACGTCTAAAGCAGAAGATGAGCCCCTCCCTTTCCTCCCCCCACGGACAGGGATGGATCTGCTACGATCTGGTTTTCTTATTCGAAACGGCTTTTTTCGTGAAAGAGCGTTTTCCCATGAAACTTCGATCGAGTTGGAGCGCTTGTTTCCTGCACTCAAAAAATGTGCAGGAATACTTACTCCCCCCCCCCCCCCCCCCCCCCCCCCCCCCNCCCCCCCCCCCCCTCCCCGACCCCAATAGGGTACAGCAGGATAACTAGACGCCGCAGAAGAAACCCTCCACGTATTCGTAGCCGAAGTCATAAGAGTACGACAGCGTCGACGACCACGACCCGTCCCCTTCTCCCCCTCCCGCCTCGCCGGCCACGTAGTCCATATCGCTTTCCGGGTCGAAGCACGAGTCGTCCTCCAGCTTGAACTCGTGCACGTCGGGGACGCTGTTGCCGTACCACAGCGTGTTGAAGGAGTCCACGAACCGGGACTCTCTGCCGAAGATGGTGTTCCCCTGCGGCCAGGTGGGTTTGGTGGAGGAGAGGTGGGACGAGAGGGGGTTGTGTACAGGGATGGCTAGATGGCAGCTACTCGGGAAGGTGTGCAGGTTGGCAAGGTGCTACGTACGCGAAATACAGAAAACTGAAATGAACTCGCG